TCAGGTTAAGAACAGTTTCAGGTTAAGAACGGACCTCCAGAATGAATTAAGTACTTAACCAGAGGTACCACTGTATCTCCTCCTGTGACTTCCAGTAACTGAAATTCAGAGGCATACTGCCTCTAACAGTGGCTGGACCAAACCAAGAACAACATTGCCCAGCATCATTTGGAAGAATCACAACAGCCGGCTAGCAACCGGAAACGGAGGAGGCTCATAGATCGGTGGCAGAAGGGCCCTGATACAATCCCTCACATCTCCAGAAAAAAATGGATTCTAGGTTAGAAGATTCCCATTCTGCCTGCCATTGGCTTGAGGCCTGCAGGGAAATAATCCAAGGGAAATGTGATGTGTTTCGTTTCCTTCTGAAACTATGGATGTTTTCTTTTCTTATTAAACCACCTTCCAAGCAATGCATGAGAAAGCCACTCCTCAGCCGTAGAAATGCCACTCTTTGCTTCACTGCAGCGTTCTGGGGCTGCCTAAGAACTCTGAGCCGCGATTAGACTTGAAAACTTGTAATACATTATTTGGTGTGAAACCATAGAGGTGATTTTTGTTTGTCACGCCACGCTTCGCGTGGTCTCAAGATACTTGCGCTGCTCAAGTCAAATTTCACATGCTCATGGTACATCGGAGGGGCGCTATGCTCGTGGCATTTCTGTGTTTTGTCTCTAAAATCTGCATAAGCAACACAACTTTGTCAGAAAAATGGAAAAGCCACAGATTGCCCCACCAGCTGAAAATGGGACCTGTCAGGTTGCACTTTTCATTGCTCCATCAAATCCGATGACGGATGCAAATGGTTGTTTGGGGTGGTTGTTTGTTTTTGCAAGCCTTCTTGGGGATTTCACTGCTCTCTCTCTCTCCCACCCCCTACCAGCAAAGTGCTAGAGTAAATGATCAGTGTAGTAACATTTTTAACCTTATCTATCACACTGAAACATTTTTTCTGCCTCCAATAAAACATGTCAGAGCTGATTAAGGGCCTTCTTCAATGAGGTATAATCCACAGATTCTTTTTCTTTTCTTTTTTCTTTTAGGAGCAAATCTTCGAGAGCGCCAGGGTCTTTAAGGCGGCTGTGAATACTTAATTGCAGATCCGTTGCCATCTTCCCTTTTACTGAATTCCCATAAGACTTTTTTTTTTAATGCTCTGTATCTGAAAATGCTCTTTCCTGACGACGACGGGTGAACAGAGGACCCAGGTATGGTGGCATACCATATGTCACATTGTATCTGGTGACAATGCACCAAAAGATACTGCAGCTACAGTACATTCAGCCGTGCTTATCTGCTACATGAGCGCACATTACTTTCCATGGGCCGGGATCACTTTGGACAGTATCATTAAATGCCACGTCATTACCTGTTATGGAGTAGTGCTTTTGCTTGAAGTGCCTCCTGGGATACATGCAACAGTAGTGGAGGAAGAATGATGGGCAAAGATGGAACCAGCATTAAATTTTCAATGGAAGCACTATTGACTTTGACTCTTCAGGAGCCTTATCTGCTAGATGGTGTTTGTCACAGAACCCGTAAAAGCGGTGGATGTTCGTCAGTTGAAAGTTGCAGTCAGTTGAACGATGTGGACAGGTGAAGGCTCCAGAGGGATCAGCCAGACTAGCATTGAGCTGGAGGGGGTAAATTGAAGGTTTATTTATCCAATTCACTGTCAAGGTCAGGCTTGCTGGAGAGCTGTCCTGTGTGCTTACAAAATGCCAAAAAATCCTGGCAAATTGTCTGAAAGGAGCCTCAGAATGACTGACCTTTGGGCGCTCCGTATCAACATGCCAACGTCTTTTAACACGATCCTTAGAGCGCATTAAGTGGTTTGTAAAATCTGGCTTTTAATGTCAAAAAAAAAAAGAAAGGAAGGGGGGAAAAAGAAAGAAGAGTAGGTGGGTGGAAAGGAGGGAGAAAGGAAAGCAGTAGGAACTTTTTGCTTTGCTTTGTTTTCAGCAGGAGGAGAGGGGAAATAACAGTGGATGTAGTGGTGGAGGAAAAAAGATTCACAGGAAATTGATTGAACAGTGGGTTTTGCAAAATATCCCCTATAGAATTTTAGGTTATATAACTAGCATGTTTCCCCTCCTCCACTTTCTGGGTTAAGGAAACATTCTGCTGTAAGTCAATTAGAGAGGCTTCCCTTCTGTATTAAGTGACTAACTTATATTACTAATAAAATTAATAGCAAGCGAAATCAACAAGAAAATGTATATTAATGTACTATGCAACATTCCGTTTTGGGCCTCACACAGGTAGAAATGCAAATATCTTATGCAAATGTCCCATCCAGGTAGAAATGGACTATTTATCTGTTTGTGTGTGACAAGCACTTTGAGAAATTTGTTTCTAGTATTTCCCCCCTTGATTTTTATTGTATGATACTTGTGAATTCTCTCTTGAATGATGGCGATGATGAGCGTCTCCAAGAAAAACCTCCTTTTTGCAATAAAATGCAAAAAAAGAGAGAGTTCTAGTCCAGAGGTTCTCCAGGGTGTCAGGCAGGGCACTCCCAGACGTCCCTGAAAATGCTGAGGATTGGACCATGGACCTCCTGCATGCAAAGCAGTTGTTCCACTACTCAGTTATGACCCTTCAGCCAGCACTGACTAGTCTAATGAGTTTTCATACTTTCTGCATTCAGGTAAGTCTTCCCACATCAACTTTATTTTATCTATCTTTTTTTAAAAAAACACCCCCCTCCCAATTCTATGTTGTCATGGAGCTGCCAGCAAAAAGCCAAAATCTGATATTTTGGGTAGTAAATAGACAGAACTAGGGATGTGATGGTCTACAAATATGTGGGGTTTTTGTTTTGTTGTTAAGACCAGGAAAATGTTTTTTCTTATTTGGGTGAAGTTTTTCTGCCCGGTTTTTTCATTAGAAAAAGATGGAAATCTGAGGAAACACTATAACAATGCAACTCAGGTATATGTTCTTAGGAAGTATTTTCTCTTTCAATTTCCTTAAAAAATAATATTGGGATCTATGGTGTGTACACAGCTGTAGTCCTTTTTGATAATCATATTGAGCAAAGCCATATATCTACTAATCCAAAGGTTCAATTGACCTTGTCTGATTTGAGCTGCAGAAATCTTAAGGGGCCTGCTAATGGGGGGCAAATAAATGTGTCTTCAGACTTTTGTAAATAAAGTGTGAGTGAAGTAATAATAATAATAATAATAATAATAATAATAATAATACTGGGGTGGAACTCCTGGACCTAAAAGTTAGTAACTTGCTCCCCTGAGACCCTGAGAATGAACCCCAAACCTGGGGAATGATCACACCTCAGTGGTAGAGCACAGATGTGTAGAAAGTGTTAGATTCAATCCCTGATATCTGCCAGTTATTGGAGACTGAGCTAGATGGACCATGGAATAGGAGAGCTTCCTTTGGGCTTATGAGCCTTAGGACAAAATCCTTGCCATCCGATGCTAGAACCTAACATGCCATGATAAAGAATTTATCAAAAAGGCAGCAGGACATGGAAGGGCTGTCAAATGGAAGAGGGAGCAAGCTTTTTTCTTATGCTCTGGAGGACAGGACCCAAACCAGTGGATTCAAATGACAATAAAGGAGATTCCTTAGGAGGAACTTTCTGATGGTAAGAGCTGTTCAACTGTGGAATGGTGGTGCAAGCTCCTTCATTGGAGGTTTTCCAACAGATGTTGCATGGCCATCTGCCAGGGATTCTTTAGCTGTTATTTTTGCATTCAAGGTGGCTTGACTAGATATCCCTTGGGGTACCTTCCAGTCCCACATCTCTATGATTCTATAGGGTACAATGGAAGGGGAAGATGAAGTCAAGCTTGGCATGGCGATTCACATTCTTAGTGTGAAAATGGAACCATGATTTATCCTTTCGATGGCCTCTGTTAATTGTGAAGTTGCAGCATCACAAGACCTGGCAAAGCACAGAGAGCTGCTGTGTCTCACCACCACCCATTAATTTTTTTTGCCATGGTCCTCTGTTTTTTTCATGCTGCTCAGTGAGGGATTAATGGTAGAGAAGAGGATGCTCTTCCCCTCTTTTGAGACTCCCCAGAAGGCTTCTGTGTTCTGTGAAGCAGCCAGAAGCGTTGCGTGACCTGCTGCCCCAGCCATTTCATCTTGGGGCCCTGAAAATGATTTTGAGCATCTTGGCGTGGAATGATGATTGAGTGCGTCCCCTGCTCCCTTTGCTTGAGAGTCTGCTGAGGCTTCAATAACATATGATGTAAGCACAATAGCTTTTAGGACATAAGAGGCAGCGGTAAAAGAGGCCGTCAGAAACTTGCTGAGGTATCTCTCCTAATAACGCGCTATAAAATTAATCAGTGGTTGTGCGGCTCAAGTTCTTGATGGGGAGTCAGCCTCCTTACTGATCAATTCTGCATGGTGAGCACAGTCAGTTTTAAGAACCACACGGTTCATAGGGATAGATGGATCTGTCAATTAAGGTTTCTCCTGGTTTCCCATTTTTCCAGACTTCAGTTCTACACATTTCTGCACCAGTTTGCTTTAAATAACAATTAAAAAAGCCCTCATGAAAATTCATTAGTGCTTCCATGCATACTTCTCCCAATATACACATTTTTGCAAGAGGCTTTGGCTAATATAATTCTTTTTGTGTGTTATCTCTGTTGGCCTATGCATTTTTAGTCACAACTCCTCCCAATACACACATTCCTGTACACAATATTGGTTTGGAGATCCACCTCACAAAATTCAGAAACTTGCAAATTTCAAAGGATGGCTGTGTTTCAGTTTGCGTTATGTTTCAGAAAGTGCAAATTAGGTGGGACCACAATAAAATCTGAACTGAACTAAAACTTTCTCTCATTCCTAGTTCTTTCTTTGTTAAAACAAAAAAAGTGGGAGAATTCTGCATTCCAAAAATGTTGTTGATGCTGCTATGATCAACAGCATTAAGAGTGTATTAATGCTGCAATATGGGCTTCATTTCTTCTCCCCAGGGAATGATAGCTGCTTGTGGGATCACCTGAAGATCTGGAGAAGGTAGAAGTGGTGGAGCATCTGCTTTGCCTGCAGAAGGTCCCAGGTTCAATTCTTGGCATCTCCAGGTAGAGCTGGGAGTTAGCCCTGAAACCCTGGAAAGGCACTGCAAGACATTGTAGACAAAACTGAATCGGATGAACCAATGGTCTGACTCAGTATAAGGAAGCTTCTCGCAATCCCATATCTTGATGTGGGATCATTACAGACCCATTGGATGCAAACATAATGCTGAGCTTCACCTGTGGAAACATCTTGAAGACCCAAGCAGACTCAGTCATCAGGAAGCTTCCCATACATGGAAGGTAAGAGTAAAATGACTCAGGAATAGAAGATCCTTAAGACATCAGTTCTACTTTAGGAGCAATATCAGGGTATATAAAACTGAGGAGAATGTTTGAAGGAGCTGCCTTTTGGAAGTATCCATGTCTCTTTCTCATCAGAAGAACCTAAGAAGAGCCTGTTGGCTCAGGCCAATGGCCCATCTAGTCCAGCATCCATGTCCTCAGAGTCACCAACCAGATGCCTGTGGGAAACCCACAAGCAGGACTGGAGCACAAGAGCAACTCTCCCCTCCTGCTGTTTCCAGCAACTGGTATTCAGAAGCATTGCTGCCTCCAACTGTGGAGGCAGAGCAGAGCCATCGTGGCTAGTAGCCATTGAGAGCCCTCTTTGTGAATTTATTGTCTTTTAAAGCCACCCAGCTTGATGGCTCTCATGGCCTCCTGTGGAAGCAAGTTCCATAGTTTAACTCTGCACTGCATGAAGAAGTACAGTGGTACCTTGGGTTAAGAACTTAATTCATTCTGGAGGTCCATTCTTAACCTGAAACGGTTCTTAACCTGAAGCACCACTTTAGCTAATGGGGCCTCCCACTGCTGCCGCACCGCCGCAGCGCAATTTCTGTTATCATCCTGAAGCAAAGTTCTTAACCCGAGGTACTATTTCGGGGTTAGCGGAGTCTGTAACCTGAAGCATATGTAACCTGAGGTACCACTGTACTTTCATTCATCTGCCTGAATCTTCCAGCATTCAACTTTATCAATCGTCCACAAGTTCTAGAGTTATGAAAGAGGGAGAAAAGCTTCTCTCTCTTCATTTTCTCCATATCATGCATATTTTTTTTGAACTGCTATTGTGTCACCTCTTGCTTACCTTTCCTCTATGCTAAAAAGTCCTAAATGCAACAACCTTTCTTCTAAAGGGAATCTCTCCACTCCCTTGATCATTTTGCTCGCCCTCTTCTGAACCTTTTCCAACTCTACAATATCCAAAGAGGCAGAAGACACCTATGTAGACATTCAAGGGAAAGCGTGTGCTAGGTCATGGTGGCTCCCAGACTGCATGGAAAATATTACAATTGATCATTTGATTATGTATAGGGCTTAGAGGGGTTATTAGTGATGAAGCATTAATGGTAGAACATTAACCTAATGTGTTAAAGCAGAATGAATGAATGAATGAATCCAAAATATTTAAACTCAAAAGTAAGGTTTTGTACATAGAATATTGCTATTTTCTTTTTGCTCTCTGCCTGTGTGTGTATTTTAGAGGAAAAGCTTAACAAAAATTGTGAACGAAATTATTTCCAATATATCCTTGCCAAAGAATTTAGGAAAGGTTATTGTTGTGTCCTACCCATTTATGTGGTGGGTACCAGGTGCATCTCTTTGGGGAAAGAATTCTGCAGCTTGGGGGTCACCACAGAAAGTGCCCTCTCCTGACCACTGCTAGCCCTTGAACTTCTGAGGGCAATGAGCTACCAAGAGGCCCTCTCTGTTGCTCTCAACGCCTGAGAAGATCCATAGGAAAGGAGGTGTTATTTCAAATATTTGGGGCCTAAAATAATCACTAGTCTCTCTACTCATCTTGCACTTTCCTTAGCGTATGGAGTGTATGTTGCTGACTTCTTTGGCAGGGAAAAATATCTTCTTAATAGATGCATTTTGCAATTCACTAATGACTATAATGGGGTCTATGGAGTTCAACCGAAGGAGAAATTTAGAGGATATTCCCTTTGCTTCCATCGCTGTGGAATGCCAGTCCCTTTAGCAAAGGGGGTCTGCTATGGTTCTCCAGTCAAGAGGTGTCAGCTAGTCCTCTGAAGTTTATCTTTCCATGAAATGAAAGCTTTAAAACAGCATAAACCATATCTTGCAGCTAGTTTTCAGAACTCATGTTAATGACACCACTTTCCTTCCTTCCTTCCTTCCTTCCTTCCTTCCTTCCTTCCTTCCTTATGTGCTTGATTCCCCATCCTCCAATATGTAAAAGTGTCTTTGAGATGTCTCGTTGTTTTGACCATCTTGGAGCCATTTTGCAGGATCAATATGTATTGTTTAAGATGTGGGGTTCTTGGAGATGAGGGTACCACATGCAAATCGGTTCCTCTTTCCTTCCCTGTCATAAGAACATGAGAAGAGCCTGCTGGATCAGGCCAAAGGCACTCATCTGGTCCAGCATCCTGTTCTCACAGTGGCTAATCAGAAGCATGTGAGAAACCCACACGCAGGACCAGAGCGCAAGAACTCTCTCTCTCCTCCTGCAGTTTCCAGCAAGCATTGTTGCCTCTGAGTGTGGAAATAGACCATAGTCATTGTGGCTAGAAGCCATTGATAGCCCTCTCCTCCATGCATTTGTCTAATGCTCTTTTAAAGCCGTCAAGGTTGGTGACCATTACTGCCTCCTGCAGGAGTGATTTCCCTAGTTTAACTTTGTGCTGCATCTGTTGTTAGTCTTCCAAAATTCAGCTTCATTGGATGTCCACCAGTTCTAGTGTAAGGGGAGAGGGAGGAAAACTTGGAAGATTAGAACTTGGTTTTGCAAGCATCACCTACCAGATTACACCACTTGCTGATCATCAGTTAACTTTGGTTCCAGAGATGAAATGTCACAATCACGTGCATTATTGCACGACATGAAAAAGGGGTGAGGGAGAAGGAAGTTGGAGGAATGGGCCTTTAAAGTGAAGTATCTGAAGGCAATTCTATTTATTTGACCCTCTGTTTTCCCCTCCCTATCTGGTACTGGCTTATTATTATCAACCTGACATCTCCTTCCTTTGAAAGGTTGTCCGTCACACTTTGGATCAGTTCTCTCCCTGGTTACGTTTTCTAATCAGTTCACATGATTGAGCTTACATCAAGTGATGCTTTACTTAATTCCTTTCCGCTTGTGCGGTGCGATTCTTGGAGGGACTCTCGTCAAAATTTTGGAGGGTCTTGTCAGTTTGAAAAGAACATGACCTTTAAATTGTATCAGTATGTTTGCTGGTGCATAAGGCAAAGGAAAAGGTTTGTACTGATGGAAAACCACTCTTAAAAAATGAAAAGTAATTCTCTCGGAGGCAACATGCATGGAAACTTCCATTTGTTTGTGTTTAACTGGTTAAATAAGTTGAGAAGAGGGAGACAGTCTTGGGACCTGCTAAAGGAAACCAAAAATATTGTATCTCCTTGTATAATATCTTTATTTTACTTGCTGCCATTATTTCTTTGCGGGCTAATAAGATCTAGTATCATGCTAGGGTAGAATTAAGATGTCTTTGTTATGCAAGTGTTTAGGAATCAACCCCTCTTCCCTGGAAATTGTAGCTCTGCAAGGGGAAATAGGGGGTCTTCAAATGACTCCCAACACCCTTAACAAGGCACAATTCCTGGGATACTTGAGGGGGGGAGAAGTCATGACTATTTCCAGTGTTATAACAGTGCTTTAATGTAACAGTGCAGAGCGGCTTAGTCACCTCACAAGAACATTTTGGAAATATATGTATTCATATACATTAAGTTATGTAGAGGTTTTATTTAGTGAAGAAGTCTACAGATTTTGTTAAGTAAAGCAAGAAAGCAAACAAAGCTACATGCCTGGGGTTAAGATTGTGTTAGAATTACCTCATGGCTTTAAGATGCAGTGATGTCCACTGGCTCCTTTGAAAGGAGATGGTGCACATTCATGGAGCAACAGTCTATCTACGTTTTCAGCCATGACGGCTAAATAGAGCCTCTGTATCCAGAGGCAATAGACCTTTGGGTACCAGAAGCTACTAGAAAATCAATTGGAGAAGATCCATAGGAGGCCCTATTCTGCACCAGATCAGAACATATCAAGTTCAGGGGGATCTCCGCAGGGGATCTCCAGGGTTTCAGATATGAGTGAACAAACCTGGTACCATTTGTATTCAGACCACTGAGCAGCGAATGCCTTCACTTTCAGAGGTTGAGTGGGTGGCGAATGGGAACGGCATCCTATCTTATGGAGGTGCCTGGCTATGATATTCTTCAAAGTAAAAATATTGTTCTATATTCCCCAGATTTTTCATTGACAATTTGCTTTCTTTCCAATTTGATTTCATGTTTTGATCTTTGTTTCGGCTGATCTGATTGTCGTCAGCCACCTTGAAGGCTTGTCAGCCAGGAGGGAGGATGAGTTCAAAAGACGGATAGATAAAATAAATAAAGTTGATGTGGGGAGACTTCCCTGAAGGTACAAACTTTGAAAACTGCATTAGACTAGTCAGCGCTGGCTGAAGGGTCATAGCTCAGTGGTGGAGCAACTGCTTTGCATGCAGGAGGTCCATGGTCCAATCCCCATCATTTTCAGAAAGTTCTGGGAGTTCCCTGTTTGATAATACTGAGCTCTGTGGACCAATGGTCAGAAGTGGTTTAAGAGAGCCTTTCATGTTTGAGGTTTGTGGGTCGCTTGAGAAAGATAATAGAATTGTAGAGTTGGAAGAGACCACAAGGCAGAGCTGGCCTGCCCATGAGCTGGGTGAGGCGGCCACCTCAGGTGACCCCCCCGGAAGGGATGGTGCCCCATTCCTCCGCCAAGCTTTGCCATTGGTCTCCCCATCCTTTAGGGGCAAAGATGGCCTGGTGGCAAAGCTCTGTGGAATGCCTCCCCTCCTGCTGAGTTGGCAAGAGGGAAGGAGTCACACCACCCAGATTTGCTGCTGGATGGGTGGGTGGGAGTTCTTCCTCTTTTAATTTTAGGTGGTGTGATGGAACTTTGCACTGGCATCTCCTGAAGGGAGGAGCTGATACAAAGCCCTACTATCCAGTGGGAGGGCAGGAAAGGATCTCCTCACCGCCTGGCAGGGGAGTCTCCTTATGAAGTTTGTGCCCCTATGGCAGGAGTAGCAATGGGGTGTTTTGCCTCCAGGTGCTGAAACACCTCAGGTCATTGCTCCCCAAAGGGACATCTAGATTAACACAGACTAGTCAATACAGGAATCATAGCTAAAGAATCCCTGATTACCATCCAACCTCTGTTTAGAAACCGCCAGTGAAAGAGAGTCCACCACCTTCTGAAGGAGTCTGTTCCTTTTTTTTTTTAAATCATATTTATTAAAGTTTCCAAAAATATAAAAATACAAAGAAAAAAGACAAAAGAAAGAAGATATTTAAAAACCTTACTTTCATTCCCTACTTTCTGGGACTCCCCCCTCCCCCCCCCCAATTGTATTCCCCTTTCCTTAATTTGGTTCTACAAGCTCTCATGAAGGAGTCTGTTCCATGGCTGAACAGCTACCACCATAAGTTTCTTCCTAATGCTTAGTTGGAATATCCTTTACTGTTGGAATGCATTGGTTTAGGTCCTCCCTTCTGGAGCAGCACAAAACAAGCTTGCTCCATCTTCCATGGGACAGCCATTCAGCTATGTGAAGATGGTTAACCTATCACCACTCAGTATTCTCTTCTCCATGTTGAACAGCCCAATTCCCTCAACAGTTTTACACAAGGCTTGGTTTCCATAGCCCTGATAATCTTGGTTGCCCTTGTCTCTGAGTAAGCCTCCTCTCACCCACATCCATACTCCCCATTCACTCGCCTTTTCCTTCTAGGACCTGTCTGCACTGGAGCCTAGTGCAAAGGGAGTGGCGACTGTTGCTACTTTCCCTTGCTATCGTCACAGCTTACTCATGGGGAAGGCAGGTGAGAAGAGAGAGGCAGCCAGGAGAATGAGCAGAGGAAGTGTCAGGGCCCCTTCAATGGAACATTAGCGAGGTGGGGCTGGCAGGTGCCCAACAATGCCAACATTGGGAGCTAGGAGGATTTTTGTCATACCAGAGCACATAGGTCTTACTCAGGTAATACCTCTCGCTTCACCAAGCCTCTTCGCTCCAGGAGGATTGGGACCCATCGTGGATGGCACTTCTGCTATGCATTTGTAAGTTAGTGATTGATTAAATATACCGATAGTCATAAATCTCACATTATAATAAATCACAGAAACAGACTTTTGGAAGATTAGCTTTACTTTTCATAAAATGCTAATGTTGGTTTTGTTTTTTGTTTTTTTTTTGCTACACCATATTGTCCTTCTCTTTAAAAATTACAGCTTTACTACAGAAAGCTAATTTTATAATACAGTATTAACTCAATATTACATAAATTACATTTGTCAGATTGCACTGTTATGGATGTACAAAGCACCAAATTTACAACCAGAAGCTCTCCAAAGACATGTATTTATAATTTCCTACACTGAGCCATATGCCACGATATAGTCTTAAGGAATTACACGTGTTAATGGGAGGCACAAATCCTGCTGTTTTCTTCTAGATACAAATGGAAACCATATATTTCAGGTCTTTTCTCCCAATTACGTTGGCCACAATTACAGGCACCAAAACTGTAAGACGGTGAAAATATTTCAATACCTGCACCTTTTAAATAAAAAAGCAACAACAGTCATACGTTGCTAGTGAACATGTATTTTATACTGGCCTCGCTTGTAGCTGTTGCTAATGCCTTATCCACATTGGGATGCTTGAATAATTCCCATACAAAATCACCCAAAACACACTTCTTGGACAATGCAAGGATTGGATCTAAGCTATGCGCTAGACTAGATTGTATGCTTTCCGAAAGGTCACAATACAGAGCATAGTGGTTAAAACGTAGGACCTGGGATACAAGGGTTCAAATCCTTGTCAGCCATGAAGCTCACTGGGAGACCTTGCACCAGTCACTGTCTCTGAGGCCTAACCTACCTCACAGGGTTGTCGTGGGGATTAAATGAGGAGAGGTGGGACCATCTGTGCCACCTTGAGCTCCTTGGAGAAAAAGGTGGGATACAAATGCAATAAAATAAAAGTAGTCATTTAAGCATTGGTTTAAACACATTTAAATACTTACATGCAGAGAAACCTAGATACCAAATATACATTCAGAGAAAATGCATCTGTAAATATTTTATGTATGTAAACACATAGTTTCAGAGAACGCACATGAACCTTTTCAGAGAAAATTCAGATTTAAATGCATATTATTTAAATATGTTTTTTACAAAGGGCTCTTAAAAAACCCCAAAGATGAATACAGATGAATACAAAATAGAAAAGAACAGAAGAGACAGCTTTGCTCATCCCTACCTCTACAGCCTGTTATAACTATGAGTGTCGAAAAGCAAGAGAAAACGAATCCAATCTGGCATAATGTTTACTAGCCTTTGCGAAGCTGGAGCCCTCCAGATGTTTTGGGCTACCCTCCCCTCAGATGGGCTGCCTGGGGAAGATGGGAGTTGTAGCCACAGATGGGAGAGATTTAGTTTGCACTTGCATCTAGCCAGCACTTTCCACAGCAATTTTCAAACTGAAATACGCCTATCTTTCAAAATCTGCACTTCTCCGAATTTTGCAATGCAGTTCTCTGACCAGGTAATGTGTAAAAACAAAAAAATGCAAATACGGGGGTAAAAGTGTGCCTACAAAATGCATAGATGAGTGAAAGTTACATGGAAAGATGCAGTGTGTCTGGGGAAACTGCTTTACAAAAATGTGCATGTCAGGCAAAATTGCATGCAGAAGAATGTATACACAAGGAGAAATTCGTAACAGAACCATGTGTGGATTTCCATGGGTTTTTAAAATTTGTTTCCTTATTTTTTTGCAAACAGATGTGGGAATGTGGTGTACTTAAGATAGGAAGAATGAGAAATGGGGAAAATCTGAAATGGACCGATTCACCCAACCCAAGTTGTGGTCCTGAACATCTGGGAGGGCACCAGCTTGTTGAAGGCTGATGTCTACGGACAGCAGCAGCAACACAAGAAGAGCGAATGTCATCCCCAAATGAGCTGTTCCGTGGCAGCTGGTACCATTTTTTCTTTTCTTTTTAACACTAAGTATCTCCCACTTGCAAGGTATAAGCAAGTATCTCTCTCTCTCTCTGTGTGTGTGTGTCTCTGTAATGTAACCAGCTTATCCATGTCATTCAGACAAAGAGGGGAGGGGGAATGTTGCCTGCTTTGGTGGAAGAGGGAAAAAAAGGAAGGGAGAAGGTGGGCTCTTGTGTGATTGTGCAACATCTATAGGTTTTTAAACACACACTGTCTAATCAGCCCCTGACAGATCCATTGTAAATCAAAGGTCTGGTAAGTGGGGATGCCAGAAATGTTTGATCTCACTCCAAGCCTTGAAACAACTTGCTTATTTTTTCTTCTTCTTCTTTCTGCAGCATGGCTCCTCACTAAAATAAAACATTGAGAGATGAATGTTCTGACAGGTCACTGTGTGTCAAGCTGTCACTCTGTAATGGTTACATATTTCAGCTGGATGGAGGTGCCTGGCGGTTGGGGGTGGGTGGGTGGGAGGAAGCCGGAGAGAGAACAGAGGAGCGAGGGGAGAAGAGACAAAGAATAAGAGATCTCGGCTCTTTCCTCCTGGCTGATCTTCATTTAAACCAAACACTTGTCATGTTCGGGGGGGGGCGCTGGTAGTATTGGGGGTGGAGCGAGCGGCGGAGGGGGCCCCAGTTTTATAAATTTTTAATGATATTGGGCACAACCGGTGCTTTGAAATTTGCTGCACTTTAATTTTTTCTTCGTTAGCAAAGGCTCGCTTAATGCATCGAAGTGCTAAGAGCGTGTCCTAGGGATGCCACGATAATTGTGTTGTTAATAATATTGTGGCACTAGTAATGTTCGCCTGGTAATCAAGCCGCACGGGTTTTTTTTTTAATATATTCAGTTATTACACCGCGTCTCGTACAAATCATGTCAATTACAATTGCCAGTCGATGACAGTTAAAATAATTGTGTGCGTTTTCTAGAGTTTTCCATTGGCTTGGCTAATCAAGCTAAAAAGAGGGGGGGGGAGGAGAAAAAAAAAGAATCCAGCGCATTATTAATATTATTATTTTGGTTCAGGTCTCTCTCCGCTTCTAAATCATTTGTCCATCTACTTCAAAAGTCAGAGCAGTAAGTATTGTAATAATAAATACACAGAAGCTTTTGCGCTGAAGTGCTAGGTATGTAGGTGAATGAAGAGGAAAGAGGAATATAGTCTTGGGAATAGAATGCGAGTGTGCGTATATGTGTGTGTTTGATATTTTAAAATACATAAATGCAGGAGTTTATATTTTTAGTATACGTGTAGCTATCCTTCTGTGTACACTGAGGGTACTTTTAATATAATTCTCAGGAATGGTGCATCCATAGAGGCAGTTATATGCTATTGCGGCTCAACATCTGTTCTAGAAAACACTCCACATTCTTGTTCAGAGATGGGGAACTTTTGGCAATCCAGATGCCTTCTGACTGTCACCAGCCCTAGCGGTAGTCCAACAACATCTAGAAGGCCAGGCATTTGTTTGCTTGTT